CATTACCTAGCTGGCTTTTCTGTGCGTTTAATAGTTTTTACCAGGTGTTTTCTTTGTCAGATTTGCAAAGGGACAGGGGAATTCTTTTTCTGTTAGGAGGATTCTGATAGGAACCAGGCCACTTATATCACTAAACACGAAAACAGCACTAGCAAAATAGAGAAATATGGTAGGAACAGTATAGTATTGTATTGATCTGTAATAGTATGAATTACAAGAACTGGAAATGAGTTGCAGAAAACAAAGAACAGTGGTAGGAGAATCCCTTTCCCCACTCTCAGCCCTTGCTGAACACAATTCACCCAAATCTTGCCTAACCTCTCCCCGAGGCTACTCCTAATTATATAAACTAATTCCCAACATTTCCCTCCCATCTCCTTCCACACTAACCTTCTTCCCTCCAACTCACGTGACAGCCTTCCACACTATAGTTCCTCTGTTGCCCATCTTATTCTTTGTAATATACATCCTTTTAACAACATTCATATCAGATTCCTAAATTTTGAGCTCTATACGCTGTGCTGTAATAAATTATTCCACTTAAATAGGAAATGCGTTGCCTTGGACATTAAGATTTAATAGGCTTGAAGATATTGTTAAGTGTTTGAATTGAAGTTTGTGTATAAATTTCAGTTGACTTTTATAGTACTTGATACTTGCTGCTAAGTAATTGGGTATTTGGGTTCATGTACCATTGTATCCAACATTGTCTTGTGCTATTGCTAAAGCTCAATGTATTGACAAGAAGTAAATTTACCATGTTTCCTATTATATCCATTCAATCATGTGCTTTTACACTTTATTTGATGTTTTTAATATGAAAATTGAGTTTCCTTTTGTTTTGCATGTATCAGAATGGAGCGAAGGGCAGGTTACTGAGTACTTGGTTGCAACATTTGGCGATTATTTTACTGATGTAAAAATGTGAGTCATTTTTCTGATCTCAGTAATTTGTTTTGTTTCTTAATCCTCATTTACCCTAATGCTTCTTTAAGCTTTCTCTGGTATCTGTGAAGATACTGGTAATCCTGAAAGCTTAATCTGTGAATCGAGGACCTAAATTCTGGTTTTATAAACACTGGAAATCATAGGGTTTATAACAAGGTTGTCAAACTCGTTGATGCTTCCTTGGATTGGACAAGGGAGATAGAAACATAAAATGATGAGTGAAGTTAGTTCTTCTTAGGATAAGGTAGTTAGAAGAGAGACGAAATAATATAGAGATTACAGAATCTCTTAGTAGGGAAGTAGTCATCAAATAGGATAGAGATATTCTGTTATCTCTTACTGGGGAAATAATTATCAATTAATATAGATATATTCTGTTATTGTCAGTCATTGTTCCTAATGCAGCCTGGCCGCATCAGTCCTTGTTCCAGATGCAACCTGCCCCATCAATTATTGTCCCGGATGTAGTCCGGCCCCGGTCTTTCTCCATATATATCCTTTCTCAAGGGTTTATTTCTATTCACCTTAAGCTGAGTAAGCTTTAGCTTAAGGGGAAGTATTGAAAATATTGTAAATAAGTTGATAATACTGTGAGGGATGAAGTTCCACGTCATTGAATTGTTGTTACGTAAATTGCTATAGTCAGTCTATATAAGAGCCTATTGATACTCATGGATTACGTCACATGTCTCTCATTTTCTCATCATTCAACATAACTGATAAAATTTAGCATACGTACTTGGTTTTGTTCCTAGCAGTTTAGCCATAATTTGCTATGTATAACATCTGAAGTTTATTTATGAAGTTGTTGGTGCGAATGCCTTCTTGCATTTATTTGAAATTTGATTGTTAAGTATTTAGTTCATTGTCAAAAACTAATTGTTTCAACTTTCCGTATATTAAAGGTACATTGAAGAAAGATCTTTTAGGAGATTTGTTGAAACCTGCCTGGAGGAGACAGTGGTTGTATATGTTGATCATCTTTTAACACAGGTTCTGATGTCAATAAAATAATTGTTGGTTTATGGACTAAATTTGTGCATATTTTCTTCAGTAACAGATTTCTTATAATTATAATTATAATTACAGAAAAACTACATTAAGGAAGAAACTATTGAACGGATGAGACTAGATGAGGAGGTTATCATGGACTTTTTTAGGGAGCATATCAGTGTTTCTGTGAGTTCTCTTTTAGACATTTTGTTACTGTTGTCCTCTAATGTGAATATTATGCCAGTCCCAGATCAACATGTTTATTAGCTGTTAATCTGGGCATACTTCGCCCAATTTTCTTACTCTTGTTTCCTTGGCATTCCGGATTAGAAAGTTGAAAATAGAGTGAGCATACTTAGCGACTTGAGGGAACTTGCTTCAGCAGAGAGCCTGGATACCTTCACACTTATCTATACAAATATACTCGAACATCAACCTGACTGCCCGGTAAAATTATGCCCATGATTTCAATGATTTATTCAATTCAATTTTTTCATTTGCAAATAGAAGTAATAGTTCTTCATGCATTTGAAATGTTTCTTACAGTGGGTTTTCTTAAGTTATTATAGTTTTATTTTTGGCTTAGGAAGTTAACTTTTAAAAGGATTTTATATTATTTAAAGCGCATGAAGATTTCTACCTCAGAGTTGTCGTGGTTGATGAATGTGTTTTTATCTGTAATTGTAGCCTGAAGTTGTCGAGAAACTTGTTGGTTTACGAGAAGGCATTCCTCGGAAGGATGCCAAGGAGGTAAATAAAATTCAGTGTCTATTTTGCTTAACATTGAACTCAAGAAATATATGTTCACGGGATAAGAATCTGAACTGTGCATTTATTTGGTTTTGTTTATTCAATTCTAACCAACTGACTGGAGGAGATTGTAAATATTCCTATTTTAGTGCATGAAAAACTCTCGGCTTAAAATAATTCACTAACCCATACAACCAACAATTAACACAGCTTGAATATTCCAGTGGATCTATTTTTGGAAGATTATCGTGTAAAAAATTGGCGACAACATACTGGACTCAATTTATATGGGCATAATTTTGGGAACCAGTTGTCCCAAACTTCTATAAGGGGAAGAAAGAGAGATATGATATATTTATTAATTTTGGTCATTAACTAAAACTTCTTTGCTGGAGAAATTATTTGGTTATTGATTTTGGAATTTGCAATGTTATTCTTGTGAATCAGGTTATACAAGAGTGCAAAGAGATATATGAAAATTCTCTTATTGATGGTAGACCTCCAAAGACAGGTTTTGTTTTTCCACGAGTGAAGTGCTTAACAGCATCTAAGGGAGGCATTTGGCGTAAACTCACTTGAAGTATGATACCATTCGCTTATTTATATAGTTTGTTTGGCTTTTTAAATTATTTGTTACTTGTGCATAAATCACAAAAGCTATGCTGTCCATAGGTGAGTTTAGTAAAATTCACATTAACATAAGTCGTTACTTCATGATTTCTTTGCAATTTATTCCGGCTACCATTTTCAGTTTCGCTGAGCGCAAAGTACGTATGATTGGAATCTTGGAATGTTTTTGGTTGTATGTGGGTTAGGATTATAATTGATGAAATTATCGGGACTTCAGTGGGGAAAAGAGAGAAAATTCTGAATAATATAATATTGATATATAATGTGTAATGATGTGCTACAAAATATAAATCATTAATTCTTATTTACAGTGGTATTAGACTTTTAATCTTAATTCAAGAAAAAAAGTAAATCTTGATATTAAAACAAAAGTTAGGAAGTGCACAAGATGGGTGTTTACAATTTGCTACAAAGCACTATTACCTTTCTCAAGTCTACTAACTTGGGAGTTGTGGAAGATTATAACAAACACATAATACAGTTGAGAAGGGTTAAAACCAGTTGTAGAATATAATTGAGAATAATTGAGGATCACTCTTCTTAACCGAGTCAAATATAACTAACGAGTAGATAAAACTTAAACTACGCAATGGGTAGCTTTTTAAAACACTTTTTTAAACTTGTAAAACTTAGACCAACACTTCAAAGGTGGTTTTAAAACATATTCGAATTTATGGAAGCTTAAGTTTTACAAACCTTGGTTGAGTTTTCCATTTGTAAAAACCAACATTAGAAATAAAAAGTAAAGAACAAAAGAGAAAAGACAACGTAATACTAGAGAAACTTAAACTGAAAATGTAGATCATAAAAATTAACAAAACGCTATGTTGTATAGGACATAAACTCCATGGATAGAAGTGTAAAAAGATTAAAGTTTCTTTTGTTATATGAGATAATTTTATTTTTTATACATACATAAAAATGTGTGAATTTTTTATTTTTTTCTTTATTTTTTTCATATGGCCCCATATGAGTTTCGTATATTTTTATGTATGTTTTAGAGATAATTTTATTTTCTATAACATGAAAAACATTAATTTCAACAGTAACTGCAAATGTATTAAAGCAACTAAAATAATGGAAGAGAGAGCTTAGCCAACATACTAGTGTTAATTCACCTCAAACCAAGTTGGCTACGTTCGGTCTTTTGCCCACTGTTTTTATCGGCTGTTGCCACTCATCAATAAAAAATTTCGGAGAAAAAAATTGATTCAAATTTTCTTAGTTCCATTAATCAAAAAGAATCCAAACCAAAAACTTTGTCCAGAGTTAAAAATCAAATCTAAAGAATTCAATTGGTTTAGTTTGATTCTTCTTTTCTTTTGTCTAATGTTTTAATGATTTAGAGAGAGACAAAACACCTGCATTAGCAAATCCATTGATTTACGCATTATGCCCACTTTAATCATGTAATTTGCGAGGAAAATAAGGAAAACAAGAAGAGATAACAACCATTAGAGAAACAAATCTATATTTTCTTATATTATACTCTATGATAGCTATGCGTCTTACCTGTTCTTATGTCTTCATGCACACTATTCATGGTTCCACATGCCTAGTGGAGTAAGAGACTAACTTTTAACAATTAAAATATGCCTCTTCAATCAACCTATAGGTTATATATGAGGGAACCCTTTCTTTCTGTCTATGGGGAAGCTCTGATTTCCAAGACCAACCCAATGGAAAACCTTCCTCCATTGATTTACAAAAAACCCATTAGAAGAACCTTAAGGCGATCTTCAAATTATCTTGGGGTCAGAAGAAGGCCATGGGGAAAGTATGCTGCGGAGATTAGGAATCCATATACCAAAGAGAGACACTGGCTAGGCACATTTGACACTGCTGAAGAGGCTGCCATAGCTTATGATCTTTCATCTATCAAGATATGTGGCATTGAAAATGCTCGAACAAATTTTCACTACCCTTTGATGTTTCCTCCATCTCCTTCTCTTCCACTGTCTTTGCCCCCACCACCCCCAACAACCCCCGAGTTGGAAGCAAGTGATATCAACGCAGTTGACGATATTATTGATGGTGATGATGAATCTCTTGTTATTGCTTCCATCTTGCAATCTTTTTCTTATTCCGGAAACTGCTCTCTTTAGCTTTTGGTTTTCATGAGATATAAATAGATGATCCTTATCACATGGTAGTAAGGAATTTTTTTTTTTTCTTAATTGCATTCAGAAGTTGTCCCTGAATTTAATGAGCAATTTCAAGTGCACAAGACTTTCTAATTTCGCAAATGCAAGGATGAGGGTTGATTTTGAATCCATGTCTTTCCCGTCTTATTACTAATACTTCTTTACGTAAATATTTGGATAAAACTAAAATACTGAAATTTTAAAATTTTATCCAAATATTTACCTATTTCATCACTTGAGCAGAACCTAAGTGGGCAAATACTCTTTGTACTTAAATATAAATTTTGTCATGAAGCAACATCCGTAACTCATTTGGCACAGAATCAGTATTTACTAGTTTATGTTGGAGTGTGATTTCATCAATGAGTTTAATGTTTTTCATATAGTAGGAGATAAAATTATCTTACACACACATAAAAGTGTGTAGAGCCCATGTACACCCATGTAAAGAGAAAAGAGAAAAAAAAATGGGTCATATATATTTTTATATGTGTGTAGGAAATAATTTTATCTCTTCCAACATGAGAAATATTAATCCTTTTTATTAATATAACCTGATATTATTTTAAAATGATTCTTAGTAACCTATTACTTTTAGTCTCTTACATGGTGAAGAGCTTAAAATCGAGCTGTTGTTGATTCTGGTGGACCTCTTCATTAAGGATTCTAATCAAAGAATTGATGGAATTATTGAAATATAAAACAATGTTAGCTGATACAGGACTGTACAAACTACAGAGAGACTAAATAAAATGTATTCTACTGTTTTATTTTATTTTTTTCACATTCTTGGCCCCAAGGAAGTATTGTTTCCTTAAAACAGAGACTTGTTTGATTAGTGTTTTTAAAAACAGTTTTTTAGTTTTCAGAACAAAAAAACAAATTAACTCGTTTGGTAAGAACTGTTTTGTCAAAAATATTTTGAAAACTATAACTGTTTTTTTGTTTTTAGAATCAAATTTAGAGAACAAATCTGAGGTGTTTTTGTTTTTTGTTTTGGTTTTTAACTTTCAACATCAACATCAACAACACCTTTATCCCAAATTAATTGGGGTTGGTGGTAGATGAACTCAAATGAAAGATACAAAAGGTTGAAAAAAGAAACATAAAAGTAAAAATAAAAAAAATAAATCGAATAGTAATAATATATATATATATATATATATATATATAAGTAAAAGTAAAAAAGAAAGGAAAAAGAAGAAGAGGGGAAACAAAGGGGAAAAGGACTAAAAAGGGACCACCTGGAACATAGGAATAACAACGGGTCTAACCCTCCACCATGCGTATAGCTTTTCTCCATTCTGTTCTAAGGCATACCGTCCGCTAATCTATATCTCACTCCATTAAATCTTGTTTTACTACCTTCCCCTAAGTAAGTTTCGATCTACCTCTACCTCTTTTTGTGTTGAGCTCTTGGTAACAAACTTTTATTCTTACGGGAGCATCCAGGGGCCTTCTCATTACGTGTCCGAACCACCTCAATCTATGTTCTCTCATCTTCTCAGCCACCGGTAGTACTCCTACCTTTCGTCGAATATCTTCATTTCTTATCTTATCCATCCTCGTATAACCACACATCCACCTTAACATCCTGATCTCTGCTACTCCCATTTTATGCTCATGTTGCCTATGTGCTGGCCAGCATTCAGCTCCATATAGCATTGCAGGTCTTACTGCTGTTTTATAGAAATTTCCTTTTAACTTAAGGGGGATTTTGCGGTCACACAAAAACCCAGATGCACTGCGCCATTTCATCCACCCTGCTCTGATTCTATGATTTACATCCTCATCAATCTCTCCACCTTTTTGCAAAATGGAGCCCAGGTATTTAAAAGCGTCTTTCTTGGGTACCTCTTGATCACTTAGATGCACGAGATCTTGGTCTACATCTCTTACTGTTATTGTAGACAGTGGGTGATATTATATCACTAATAGATTTGAACCCATGTATAAAGCAGAGGAGGTAGATGATCAGAATTATCACTGTGTAATTAAAAATATTAAAAACAGACTTACATGTCAGTGGCAGAATGATGAAACAGACAGAATGAAAGGATGAATATATGCAGTATAAGAGGAATTAAATCCGAGCCCACAGAACGTGTCTCCTTAAGACAATTTGCCCCCTCACTGATGCCTAAGGTTGATGGACACTTGACTCCCAGGATAGAACGGATTTCGTCTGAAGAATGGTGGCACTACCAATCAACAGCCCAAACGAACACAACAATATGCCAGAGGAAGTCACACCGGAGGATGAACAACAGTATGCAAAACCGGAAGAAGAAAAATTCCGGCAGAGTTTAAGTGCAGGAAAAATTGGATAGATTTCTGAAGGTGTCAGTGTCTATTTATAGACACTGACCGGTCACGATGAACAGTCGCCGGCGGCGAACCGCCGTGTCTGATGGCGGCGAACGGGTGCGACCGGTGACTGTTCCGACGAACAGATATTACCGGTGACCGGTTCAGCGAGCAGACACAACCGGTGACTGGTTCACGAAGGGAAAGAACCGGTTCGGTTCAATACTGCTCAAAAAACCGGCGGGTAGAAACGTTTTGGTTGGAGGGAAGCAAAAAATAATTTAACAAAAAATTATTTTTTATTACACACTATGAACCGAGCCGAGCCGAGCCGAGCCGGCCGGACGGACAGCGGCGGCGGCGCGCGCGTGTGTGGTGAACCAATGCTCACCTTGCTCTTCCCCCTACATAAAACATGTAGTGACCCAAGGGCCAATCTAAGAGAGGGAAGTGAGAGCTTATATACTCTCCCATTTCCTACTAATTGTCCAATGTGGGACTTGTTGAAACCCACACACCTCTTCATCTTCCCTTTTTCTCTTTTCTTTATTAACCCACTTCTTATTCATAACCAATGGATCATTGTACATTAATTCATTCATTAATTCCAACAATCCCCCACATGGATAAGAAGTCAAATCATCGTGACAAAATGCATAAGAGTATACATGCAAAGTGTAAATTCCTCAACGAGAAACAACTGCATCGAGATAGGTGGAGTTACCTTTGAACCTTCTCTAGTGAAAACCTATCGGATATACTCGGTCGATCGGTGGTCTAGGTCGACTTGAACCATCAACCTTTAGTGTATACCTAGACAATAGGAGTCACACAATTGCTTCTCTAGCATTGTTGGTCCTTTGTTGCGCCCATTTTGGCCGTGGGACACCTGCCTAGTTCTGCGAGTGTTTTAGAGAATCGGCCTTTAAAAATTCTCATAGAAGCGGCCCTCACTTCACACTCACATAGGTGATTTCTTGTGATGTAAATCACTATACATCATCTGAACACAACAGATTAAGAAATCATTAAAAGCCTTTATGCTTACCCTCATAAATACACTGTCTTGTCTTAGGAATGAGTATGAGTTTAAAAACTTCACAGTGTTTGAACAGTCAACCATCACTTAGTTGTCTCTTTGAACCTAGTTCATGGGATCTCCACTCTTCTAGGTAGAGTTACCGCAATGCTCAACAATTGATAGGCCTTAAACCCATTCCTTTCGACAAATTTTCAACCAACTCTCTAGGAATCCCTTTGGTTAACGGATCCGCTATGTTTTCCTTAGACTTAACATAGTCAATTGAAATGATTCCATTCGAGAGTAGTTGTCTTACGGTATCATGTCTACGACGTATGTGTCTAGACTTACCGTTATACATGACATTCTTGGCCCTTCCAATAGCTGCTTCGCTATCACAATGTATGCATACAGATGGTACCGGTCTTGGCCAATTAGGAACATCCTCAATAAACTTACGAAGCCATTCAGCTTCTTCACCGGCCTTATCTAAAGCAATAAATTCTGCTTCCATGGTTGACCTTGCAATGCAGGTTTGCTTGGACGATTTCCAAGACACAGCACCTCCACCAAGGGTGAACACATATCCACTTGTGGACCTAGTGTCGTTAGAGCCGGTGATCCAATTTGCATCACAATACCCTTCTATAACCGCGGGGTATTTCTCGTAATGCAAAGCATAATTCTGAGTATACTTCAAGTATCCCAAAACTCTTACCATAGCTTTCCAATGATTCTCATTTGGATTACTGGTAAAGCGACTTAACAGACTTACTGCATAAGCAATATCAGGTCTGGTGCAGTTCATAACATACATAAGGCTTCCCAACACTTGAGCATATAGCTTTTGTGCTGTAGCTTTATCAGTGTTCTTTAATAAACTCAAATTAGAATCTACAGGGTTCCTCACAGGAGTTATATTCAAACTCTTGAATTTCTCAAGAACCTTAACTATATAGTGAGCCTGTGATAATGCCAACCCTGCAGATGTTCTATGAATTTTAATTCCTAGGATAACGTCTGCTAACCCCATATCTTTCATCTCAAACTTACTTTTAAGTAATTGTTTAGTAGTATTAATCATTTGATTATTACTACCCATGATCAACATGTCGTCTACATAAAGACAGACAATGGCAAAACCTTTTTCAGTATTCCGAACATAGACACATTTGTCACATTCATTAATTCGAAAACCATTTGATAACATAACTTTGTCAAATTTTTCATGCCATTGTTTTGGAGCTTGCTTTAACCCGTAAAGGGATTTTATTAAGCGACAAACTTTCCGTTCTTGTCCTGGAACAACAAAACCTTCAGGTTGTTCTAAATATATCTCTTCGTCCAGGTCGCCGTTTAAAAAGGCAGTTTTCACATCCATTTGATGTATTTCTAATCCATTCAATGCAGCTACCGCGATCAACATCCTGATGGATGTGATCCTTGTAACGGGTGAATAAGTATCGAAGTAATCGAAACCTTCACGTTGCCTGTAGCCTTTTACCACAAGCCTTGCTTTATATTTATCAATAGTGCCATTCTCTTTCATTTTTCTTTTGAACACCCACTTACTTCCTAACGGCTTATTGCCAGGAGGAAGATTTACCAGTTCCCAAGTGTGGTTGGACAAGAT